TTGTTTTGCTCAATGCATTGCATTTAAAAAAGACAAAAAAAAAAGAAGAAAGAAATAATAATGAAGAAATTTTTTTTTTTGTTTAAGCATTGCAACAAAAAAGAAAAAAATAGGAAAAGTGGAAAGTTAAATTAAAAAAAAAAAAAAATGAACAATTGCACTGCAAAAGTCCTTCATTTTTTTTCTTTTTTATTACTGATTCAGTTCAATAGGTTTTATTTTCAAAATTTGAACATTTGTTCAATATTGTTTTTTTTGCAACCTTTATCCATTATAGCACTCACTATACAACATATCAATAGATTTTTCTTCTTTTGCAGAAAAAAAAAACCTTAGAAATTAAAACGAAAAAAAGAAAATGAATTTTTATTTGTCAAAAAAAAATGTGGATACAAAATGCTTAGACCAATCTGTGTTATTCATTTATTCAATGATCTCTTTGAAAAAATGACTTTAAAAGCTCTTTGCTTGCATGACTTGAAACCTTGATCCTTGATCATGTTTATAATACAGCAGAATGTACTGGTAATTATATCAGAATGTAAAAATTAAGTCTCAAAAAAATTTACTGCTGCTTAAGACTAAGCTTAATTTATGTTGACAACAAAAAGCAGCAGAAATAATGATGAAAAAAAAGAATTAGAAATTCTTGATAGTAAATTCTTGACAGGTTGAAAACAGCAGTTAAGTTGAGCAATTGAAAACTGATTAAATAAAGAATGATACGTAGTATAGAATGTATTCTTCTTGAACTCTTTTTATTTACTTTTTTTTTTGCTTAGTATTCTTTAAGTTTATTCCGATTTATCGGTTATTTTTTGGACAAAAAAAGAAAAAATAGCATAGTCTAAATTGAGTGGAGTTTAAAGTATGGTAGTTAAGAAAACCACTTAATTTTTGTGGCAGCTCTTTCTTTCTCCGGGCATAAAACAGTTATAAAATTGAAATCAGTTAAAAAAATAACAGTTTTTTTTTCTATTAGTTTTCTTTTTCTTTTTAATGGTTAATATAATATACTTTTTCTTCAAAATATAATACTACAAAAATGTATTACATGTAACAGTGCTCCTCGGTTTTTGAAGCAAATAATCATCAAATTTTGCTGATGAATCATGCAAAAAAAAAAAAAAATTTCCAATTTTGTTGTTAGCTTTTTTTTTCCAATCTCTTCTGCTTTGTTTTTCTTTTTTTCTGAAAAAGACAAATAAACCGATATATGTGGTAAAAAATTTGCTT